TCGTGGGCTTGATATCCACCGAGAAAATCAAGCCCATGAAATAAACAAATAAACGTAAAAAACAGTAAATAAAAAGCCTTGAAACTCAAACAAGAAATAAAACAAAACAAAAAAGCAAACAAACCAAACCAAACAAAGAAAAAGCCTTACACGAGCCTGAAACTCAAACAAGAAATAAAACAAAAACAAAAACAAACAAACAAAACAAAACAAAGAAACAGCCTTACACGAGCCTGAAACTCAAACAAGAAATAAAACAAAACAAAAAAGCAAACAAACAAAACCAAACAAAGAAAAGGCCTTACACGAGCCTGAAACTCAAACAAGACTTCAAACAAACAAACAAACAAAAAAACAATCAAAGAAGCAGCCTTACACGAGCCTGAAACTCAAACAAGAAATAAAACAAAACAAAAAAGCAAACAAACAAAACCAAACAAAGAAACAGTCTTACACGAGCCTGAAACTCAAACAAGACTTAAAACAAAAACAAAAACAAAAAACAAATACGTAAACAAACAAAAGACAAATAAAAAAATCAATAGCCTTACGCGAGCATGGAGAAAGAAACAAATAAAGGAAAAACAACAACATTTACCAAACAAAACAAACAGAGAAAGTCTTATACAAGCTCAAACAAGATAGAAACAACAAAAGAAACATATACATAAAAACAAACAATTAAATAGTCTTAAAACTTTAGAGCTTAAAACAGACAGACTACTGAAACAAGAAACAAACAAAAAAAAACGAATAAATAACAAAAACTAAACAACCTTACACGAGCTTGAAGCTCAAGCAAGAAATAAACAATTAAACAAAAAACAAAAATAAACAAAACACTCAGACAAACAAAAACAAACAAAGAAAAATCCTTACACGAGCTTGAAACTCAAACAAGAAATAAACAAATAAAGAAACAAACAAAACACTTAGATAAACACCAACAAATAAAGAAACAGCCTTATACGAGCCTGAAACTTAATCGCGAAATAGACAAATAAAAAGAAACCACTCAGATAAACAAAAACAAACAAAGGAAAGGCCTTACACGAGCTTGAAATTCAAACAATAAATAAAAACAAAAATAAACAAAAAACTCAACACAAAACAATACAAAAACAAACAGAGAAAAAGCCTTACACGAGCTTGAAACTCAAACAAGATAAAAAAAAAACTAACAAACAAAACACCCAGACATACAAAACCAAACAAAGAAAAAGCCTTATACGAGCCTGAAACTTTATCGTGGGCTTGATATCCACCGAGAAAATCAAGCCCATGAAATAAACAAATAAACGTAAAAAACAGTAAATAAAAAGCCTTGAAACTCAAACAAGAAATAAAACAAAAACAAACAAACAAACAAAACAAAGAAACAGCCTTACACGAGCCTGAAACTTTATCATGGGCTTCATATTCACCGAAAAATCAAGCCCATGAAATAAACAAATAAACAAAAAAACACTAAATAAAAAGCCTTACACGAGCCTGAAACTCAAACAAGAAATAAAACAAAAACAAAAAAGGAAACAAACAAAACCAAACAAAGAAACAGCCTTACATGAGTCTGAAACTCAAACAAGAGATAAAACAAAAACAAAAAAGCAAACAAACCAAACCAAGCAAAGAAACAGCCTTACACGAGCCTGAAACTCAAACAAGAAATAAAACAAAAACAAAAACAAACAAAGAAACAGCCTTACACGAACCTGAAACTCAAACAAGAAATAAAACACAAACATAAAACAAACAAACAAACAAAACCAAACAAACACCCTTACACGAGCCTGAAACTCAAACAAGAATTAGAACAAAAATAAAAACAAACAAACAAAACAAAGAAACAGCCTTACACGAGCCTAAAACTATCGTGGGCTTGATATCCACCGAGAAAATCAAGCCCATGAAATAAACAAACAAACAAAACACTAAATAAAAAGCCTTACACGAGCCTGAAACTCAAACAAGAAATAAAACAAAAACAAAAACAAAAAACAAAAAACAAAACACCCAGACAAACAAAAACAAACAAAGAAACAGCCTTACACGAGCCTGAAACTCAAACAAGAAATAAAACACAAACAAAAAACAAACAAACAAACAAAACAAAACAAAGAAAAAGCCTTACACGAACCTGAAACTCAAACAAGAAATAAAACACAAACAAAACCAAACAAACAAACAAAACCAAACAAAGAAACAGCCTTACGCGAGCCTGAAACTTTATCGTGGGCTTTATATCCACCGGCCTGTGAGTCTCAGTGGGCACGTAACGATAGAATTCCGTGTCGTTGTGGTACCACTTGAGCGAGTACAGCCCCGTGGCAGGCAAGTCGTACATGCAGCTCACGTTGGCACGACCCCCAGCAACGACGAAGAGAGGAACGTCCACGCCCTGAAGGAGGTCCCCGGCTGCTGCTCCTGGTGGGGGAGAGACGGAGGGAGGGGGGAGGTTAGTGATGATAATGATGACAGGTTGGAGGTAAAAGGGAGGTTTAGGGAGAGGCGAAGGAGAGTGTTAGTGATAAGACGCAAAATAGGGAAGGAAGGAGGGAAGAAGGGAGGCGTTTGTGATGCGAAGCGAAGGAAGGGAATGGAGGAGATGGGTGATGAGAGGGAGGAGGAGGAGGGAGTGAATGGAAGGGGTGAAGAGAGATGAGAGAGACTGAGGGTTGTGATGTGGGTTGCTAAGGGTAGCTTGAGATAGGCTGTTGTGATGGGGATGTTAGGGGTGGGGGATGCACACGAACACAATTACGTAATCTCTCTCTCTCTCTCTCTCTCTCTTTGTTTCTCTCTCTCTCGCTCCCTCTCTTGATCCCTCTCTTGCTCCCTCTCTCGCTCCCTCTCTCTCTTCCTTTCTCGCTCCCTCTTTCGCTTTCTCTCTCGCTCCCTCTCTCGCTCCCTCTCTCTCCCTCTCCCTCTTTCTCCCTCTCTCGCTCCCTCTCTCTCCCTCTTTCTCTCTCTCTTGCTCCCTCTCTCTCCCTCTCTCTCTCCCTCTCTCTCTCCCTCTCCCTCTCTCTCTCTCGCTCAATAAGACTGCGTGTCCGAGTGCTGTATGGTGAAGCGTATGACTGAGGTGAAGCTAAAGTGTCAGTGGATTACGGGCGTTGGTGAGAAAAGGAGGGAAAAAAGGAGGAAAAGAAAGAGGAAAAGGAGGGAAATAAAAAGGGAAAGGAGGAAAAGAAAGAGGAAAAGGAGGGAAATAAAGAGGGAAAGGAGGGAAAGAAAGAGGAAAAGGAGGGAAATAAAGAGGGAAAGGAGGGAAAGAAAGAGGAAAAGGAAGGGAAGAAAGAGGAAAAGGAGGGAAATAAAGAGGGAAAGAAGGGAAATAAAGAGGAAAAGGAGGGAAATAAAGAGGAAAAGGAGGGAAAGAAAGAGGAAAAGGAGGGAAAGAAAGAGGAAAAGGAGGGAAAGAAAGAGGGAAAGGAGGGGAAGAAAGAGGAAAAGGAGGGAAAGAAAGAGGGAAAGGAGGGAAAGAAAGAGGAAAAGGAGGGGAAGAAAGAGGAAAAGGAGGGAAAGAAAGAGGGAAAGGAGGGAAAGAAAGAGGAAAAGGAGGGAAAGAAAGAGGGAAAGGAGGGAAAGAAAGAGGGAAAGGAGGGAAAGAAAGAGGAAAAGGAGGGGAAGAAAGAGGAAAAGGAGGGAAAGAAAGAGGGAAAGGAGGAAAAGAAAGAGGAAAAGGAGGGAAAGAAAGAGGGAAAGAAGGGAAAAAAGAGGAATAGGAGGAAGAGGAGGGAAAGGAGGAAAAGAAGGAGGGAAAGAAAGAGGAAGAGGGGGAAAAGGAGGGAAAGAAAGAGGAAAAGGAGGGAAATAAGAGGAAAAGGAGGGAAATAAAGAGGAAAAGGAGGAGGAAGAGGAGGAAAAGAAGGAGGGAAAGAAAGAGGAAAATAAGGAGGAAAAGGAGGAGGAAACGAGGGAGGAAAAGCAGGAGTAAAAAGGAGGAGGGAAAGGGAGTGAAGTTTGGAGAAAAGGGAGGAGATAAAGAGAGAAAATGGATGGTGTGATAGGGAAGTTGCAAGAAGGAAGTAAAAGAGGAAAGGGGGGGAGGGGTGCTGGATTTTGAAGAAAGAAAGATGGCGAGAGAGAAAGGCGAAAGAGGGTAGAGGGGGGGGGGGGGTGTTAAGGGTGAGGAAAAAGAGGAAAAAGCGAAAGGGTGACACAAAGAGGGAAGGAAAAGGGTAGCAAAGCGTGAAGGGGAAAAGAAAAAGGGTGGATTAAGAATGAGGGAACAGAAGAAAGGGAAAAGGAAAAAGAGAAGAGAGGGTGTGCGAAAGGAGATGGAAATGGGGAGAGGAAGGGCGAAGGATAGACGAAAGGAGAAACAGAATAAGGGAGGAAAAGATAGAGGAAAGAGTAAGAATTTGATGTGCCGAGATGTAGTGTACAAATAATAAAAAATATGGACATTTTGGAATTGCTAAAAACAGTGATGATGACGATGATGATAACAATAATAACAGTAGCAATAATAATGACAATAATGATAACAATAATGATGATAATATATTCATTATTCTAAAAATATAATGATAATAATGAGAATAACAATAATGATGATAATGATGATGATAATAATGACAATAATAATAATAATAATGATAATAATAATAACAATAAAGAAGACGAAGAAGCAAAAGAAGAAGAAGGTGAAGAAGAAAAGAAGAAAAAAGAAAACGATATCAATCATAGTGATAACGAAAATGCTATTAACGTAATGATAATGGCAATAACAACAATAATGTAGTAATGGTAACAACAAAAATAACAAATGAATATCTAAAAAAACAAAATTCACAAACAAAAGATAGGCACGACCCTATCCCCTACACCTATCCTCCAATCCCATCCCATTACTCCTCCTCCCCCCCCAAAAAAAAAGAAAGAAAAAGAAAAAGAAAAAGAAAAAGAAAAAAATATACATATATATATATATATATATATATATATATATATATATATATATATATATATATATATAAATCCTACTCCAACCCCCC